TTATCCTTATATCATCCATATCTTTCTCTTTATTTTCCCCTAGATATTCTTGACGCTCAACCCGTTAAATGGCAAAGTCAGTGGGGCCTCAGCTCGCGAGCACATGGTCAAGTCGCGGTTGCCCAACAACGTGCTCCGCAAGATTTGGATGCTGGGCGACGTCGATCAGGACGGCTATCTTGATGAAGATGAATTCGCACTTGTATGCTATCTAATGCGCGTAAAATTGGAGGGCGATGAATTGCCTACTGTTCTACCAGAGCACCTCATCCCACCCTCCAAGCGAGTTGGTCGAGTTGATAGTAACACAATCGCTACTCCTGGTGGCGGAGTTCAACAAGCGTATGCTGGCGTCTCTATTTCAGAAGTCTATAACAACGGTTCAATGTAATGCCCAACATAAGTGATCATGCTGGCGACAAAAATAAATATATAGCTGGAGTATTTCTATAAAGTTTCCATATTACCTAGCCTTCTTACAATCCTTTTGGGCTTCTTAAAAATTATTCAAGATTATTTCATTTTTGTCTCTTATTCTCATCGGTCAATGCACCAGTTCGCCTATTGATCATCTTCTGTTACTTTTTTAAAGAGCTTGAGTCATCGTTGCTTATTTGTTTAAAAAAAATTTCGATTGTAGAATTTATCTCATACTCAAATAAGACTTCTTCGCTTCCTACTAGCTTCAGGTCTTTGACTTTTGTGTCTCTATATCCAGTAGTTTGCGTCTTCTCTATTAGTGTGGATCCGAACCCTTTCGGATCACCGTTTTCTCATTTACATAATGAATATTTAATAGCATGTCTATTACATTAGAATATTCATTATTACGAGAAAGCGGGCTGCAATATGTTTGTCAAGCGTTGATTTTTCAGATATTCATGAACCAAAATTCTTATCTCTTTATAGCCTAATCTTGTTGATCCTATTTCTTTACATATATTTCTTTCTAAAACTTCTCTATTACGATTTTTCGCTTACTATATTGTTTTTTAGATGTCTGTCCAGTGACTTGAATGAAAAATCGTTTTTTTACGTTAAATTTGGATGTTGCATCTGTTTTGGCCTAAGATTCTTGTTTCCCCGCCGCTTATGTAAATTATATTTGGATTCTTAGCTTACATTTACGAATTGTTAAACTTAGTAATTATGCTTTATCGGCTGCTTTATTTTCGCACCTTAGGTTGCTTACCTTATTTATGAAGTACTATATCAAATTTGTACATACTTAATATTGGTCTCATTCTTGC